TTTTTTTTTTTTTTTTTTTTTTTTTTACTTATATAGTTACCCAAATGAAATCCAGATAAAAGAGAAGCTGTTGTAAAAAGAAAACCACGAGAAGTCAAACCATTCGATGAGATGATCTGGACAGATGAACTGTTTGGCCTGCAGGGAAACCACTACACGGTCATATTGTTTTGCTCGTCTACATATACTTCAAACATCTCCCGTTAACAAGGTATTGTCAATGGGAGATTAACAACAACACCCCAGATTTGCTTATGCTTCTTAATAAGTAAATCTGCAGTTAGTTCCTATTGCAATCATGTTTTGACATTATTAGTATCATCAAGTTAAAAGTTGATTTATGATTTGATTCAACACATTTAGCGTTGTGACATCGTTCCGTGTAAGCTGTTTAAGTAAAAAAAAAAAAAACTTTTTTGTCTGACTAAGTGCCGTCTGCTTTACTCACTCGGCCCTCATGATGAATCACTTAGTGGATGATCAGAGTGGGCCCTAATGGAGAATCTATGAAAGAGACTCAAAGAGCGTAAACAGAGTTTTGCTAAGTGTTTACACTCCGTCTCCCTGCAGACATCAGAGCCGATAACCAGCCCCACCAGGCACAATGGATGACCCTGACTCTGGGGCCCGCGTGCCCTCACTGGTCAAATAAACGCACAAGTGTGTGTAGGATAAAAAATAAAAAATAAAAAAAAAAGACTCGCAGCTGCAAGATCTCTGTGTAGTTCTGCTGATAACGACAGATAAGAGCTGCGAGGTCGCAGAGGTCCGACGGCGGGGGCTCCTCCATTCACCAGGAGCGGTACCGCATTCCTTTGTTTCAGCATCTCGTCGCAGGCAAGATGCTTGCGCAAGTAAAGAGGAGTGGGCTGACTTGAAACCAGGAAGCTTCCACGGCCCACTTCCTGTTTTAGCACTTCACCCAAATAAAAATGATGCTGCTGTATCGTATAAATATATTTAGAAAACTCACAGATTCCACTGAACGACAGATTTAGCTTGACAGAATGAGAACATGACTTCTTATTAAAAGATTTTTTTTTTTTTGCATCTGAAAGTCAAACCTGCAGTTATGATCTTCATAAACAGAACCTCTCGCTCATGACTGTCTACTTCAGAAAATATGGAGGGAAAATTCAATCAGTCTGTTTTGTGCATTCACTATAAAAGATTACAAAACCAAACATTTGTTAGCCTAATTTACCTTCCTAAGTTTTCTGGAGCCGTGTAGCACCTTTCTGCTGGTGTCTTCTGCCACTAAACCTCCTGTAACTGTCAGGTTCATTTTAAATTTGAGCTTATTTCTTTGCCAGGTTTTCAGTGACACCGTCACTAGTCAGAATTAAGCAGCATAGCTTTCTTGTTTTATTGTTGTTGCACATTTCTTTTTGGATTGCTACGCTGCTGATAAACCTAAAATCTTCACACGGAAAGAGGGCTCTAGCAGCTTGAGATGTCTTGTTATCTTCTGAGATACATTCAGCAGCTCTAGTGTCAGAGGCGACCGAGCAGCCCGCAGCATGATGCAACCTCTACTCTTTAATGCGGGTGTACTTAAGATGACTAAGGTGAATCATTTATCTGTATTTCTGTGTAATGTTCTTTCTTTTGCTGAGCCTACACAGTTCACAGAGCAGTCAAGAGGAAG